GCACGCGTGGACGTGGCGGGCTGGCGGCGCTCCTCGCGCGAGGGCCCGCGTGCGCCGCGAGGGGGGCCCCCCTCGGCGTGCGCTCAGCCCGCAGGTGCCCCGCGGCCGGCCCGAGCGGGGCGGCCGCTGGAGCGGCCGCCGGCGGGCGCTGGCCGGGCGCCGGGGCAGGTCTGCCGAGGCTCGAGGCTCGAGGCTCGAGGCTCGAGGGCTCGAGGCTCGACGACCGAGGCTCGCTTCGATCGAGGCTCGAGGCTCGAGGATCGAGTGGGGGGGGGGCTTGGAGGGGCAAGGTGAAGGAAAAGAGGCACAGGATCTGACTACCAACCAGACCACCCCAACCCAACCCGAAGACCCGAATTTGACCCGAATTTCGGGTTGGGGGGGGTACGGATACCATGTGTTTTTTCAACGTTCCCCGACCCCCCCCCACTGGAAATCGATGATAAATTTGGGCCTTCGGGTGGGGTTGGGGTGGTTTGGTGGGTGGTGAGGATCGGACCGCGAAATCGCACCGCGTCGAGGGCGCACCGCGTCGCCGGCGGCTCGTCCCGAAGCGCACCGGCACCGCACCGCCGCGCCCCACTTCCGGCGGGCCCTGGCCGATGCCGGCGAACAGAGCTGGATCGCATGGAAGTGGCGCCCCGTTCGGCCAGAGGAGGAGGAGGAGGAGGAGGAGGAGGAGGAGGGAGGAAGAGGAGGAGGAGGAGGAGGAGGATGAGGAGGAGGAGGAGGAGGCGAGATCCGATGTCGTGATTTGTTCAGTACGCGGTCCCTGGAAGTCTCGACCCGTTCCCCAGGACCAGTTTTTCATCCTGGGTCGTTTTTGGACGGTCCCGAGGCCCGGCGAAGGCCCCTAGGGGCCGAAATCAGCGAAAAACTTCGGTCTCGATTTTTTTTCGATACGTTGGATCTCTGGGATCGCGGCCCCAGCCGGCGAATAACCGCATCGCATCGAATCGGATGGTGGAGGCGGCCCTGCCAGGGTCGGCCTCGCCGGCGGCAGAGAGGGAGCGCCCACGTGCCGCCGCGGGAGTGAGCGGGTGGCGAGCCCCGCGTCCTCGCCCTCGTCGTCACCCTCCTCGTCCGCCTAGTCGGGCATCGCCAACTCCATCACCGCCGTCGTCGTTGCCATCAGCATCATCCTCATCATCCTCATCATCCTCATCATCATCATCATCACCATCATCATCATCAGCATCATCATCACCATCATCTGGGGCATCACCACCACCACCACCAGCATCCGTGCCATCGTATTCAACAGCATGACCAACAACATCATCATCACCACCACAACCGTCAGCATCACCGAGTCATCAACGCCATCACCATCATTATATCATCATCATTATTATCCATTTACTCCTCTTCCTCCTCCTCCTCCTCCTCATCATCACCACCATCATTACCATCGACATCGTCATCCTCATCGTCATCACAAGCATCATGACAATACCATCATCGCCTTCTGCTGCGCGGGACGGTGCAGTCGCGCAATTGTTCCGATCATTGTGAAGATGCTGCACTCACCCCATCTTCCCCCCGCTCCTTCCCTCCCTCACTCCCCTGTCCTTCCCTCTCCCTCGCCCCTTCTCACCCCGCGTGCTTCCCGTAAGAATGTATTGCCATACGCCGCACAGCGTTGGTGTATTTGCAGCGCCTATGCACCGGCGTGCTTACATTATCGCCTCTCGTTGTTACATGTGTGTCTTGACCTTCGTTTGGGGTTGCTGATTGCCGATGCGCCGCTTAAGCGCGGCTTCTTGTCCTGCCATGTCAGCCATCGTCGTAATCGTCGTCATCATCAGCACCATTATCGTCACCATCATTGTCATCGACACCGTCATCAGCATCATCGCCATCAGCATCAGCATCGGCATCAGCATCGCCATCATCAACCTCATCGTCATCATCCTCGTCTTCAGCATCATCAACAGCACGAACAAAAACACCACCACCACCACCAACAACAACACAGTCTTCATCAACAATAACTACAACAATATGATATGATCTGATCGAGTGTCCGTTAACGCCTATTTCCCAAACCCTAGACACCCGCCCTCTTCGTCTTTGATCGTACCCCTTTTGGGGGGTATACCTTTCTTCCCTGCAGGCCGAGCCCGGGCAAGCGGCGGGGCGGCCGCGGACCGTCGGCCTGGCCAGCGGCAGCGCTGATCGGCGGCAACCCGACCCCAAGAGGAACGGACAGGGGACCGACCACGACGACGACGACGATGTCGACGACGACGATGACGACGACGACGACGACGACGACGACGGCAACGACGACGACGACGACGAGCGAAAGCGAGAGCGAGAGAGAGAGAGAGAGAGAGAGAGAGAGAGAGAACGACAGCAGGGCCACGAAGGGCACGAAGTAGGCCACGAAGAGCGACAGCGGGGACACGAAGGGAATGCGTTAGGGGCCACGAAGAGCGCGAACGAGCGGGGGCCACGAAGGGCAGATAATGCGGGGCCATCGAAGGCAACGACGGGGCCACTGAGGGTAGCAACTGGGCCACGTAGGACAGCGAGGGGGCCACAAAGGGCGACAGCGGGGCCACGAAGGGCATGACCATGGGGCCACGACGGACACGAACGAGCGGGGGCCACGAAGGGCATACGTATATTGGGCCGCGAAGGGCAAGCACGGGGCCACGAAGGGCAGCGACGGGGCCACGAAGGGCAGAGAGGGGCAGCGAGGGGGCCACGAAGGGCTGCATCGGGGCCACGAAGGGCAGCGAGGGGGCCACAAAAGGCTGCAACGGGGACACGAAGGGCAGCGAGGGGGCCACGAAGGGCTGCAACGGGGCCACGAAGGGCAGCGAGGGGGTCACGAAGGGCTGCAACGGGGCCACGAAGGGCAGCGAGGGGGCCACGAAGGGCTGCAACGGGGCCACGAAGGGCAGCGAGGGGGCCACGAAGGGCTGCAACGGGGCCACCAAGGGCAGCGAGGGGGCCACGAAGGGCTGCAACGGGGCCACGAAGGGCAGCGAGTGGAACACGAAGGGCTGCAACGGGGCCACGAAGGGCAGCGAGATCCCGACTCCTAAGTAATATGTGAGGGAGTCCTAAGCGTGAGCGCGACTCCTGGGTGTCTGAGTGTCGGGAACGCGACGCTTGAGTAAATTGCTGGAAATTCCAACGCAAGGGTGCTATTCTTGAGAAAAATTGCAAGTAAGTCTCCAGCGAGAGGGCGACTCCAGAGCGCCGAGAGAGCGATGTTTGAATAAAGTGTACGGAAGTACCGAGCGAGAGCGCAAGTCCTGAACAAAATGCGAGAAGTCACAGGCGGCGGGGGGTCCTGGCTAAATTGCGAGGAAATCTCAGGCGGGAGCCGTTGTTGTTGTCACCCGGGGGCCAACAACACAGTTTGAGGGGGAAGATGTTCCCTGATAAAAAACAGGTGCGAGCACTGGGAGGGGCACTTCAATTGAACAAATACCATGTGCACCAGAGGGGGGTTCAACAACAATTCTCCTTCAGTAGTGAGAGTTCAACCACAACAACAACCACACAACAACAACTAAACAAGCATCAGCAACACCATCAACTTCAATATCACCACCAGCATCGACATGATCCTCTTTATCATCATCATCAACACCATCATGATCATCAGCATCAGCTTCGTCATCATCATCAGCAGCAACATCATCACCATCATCAACATCGTTAGCATCATCCGCATCGTCATAATCCGCAACAGCATCATCATTATCAGTATCCTAGCATGCATCATCATCGTCGTCCGCAACAGCATCATCAGCATAATCAGCATCATCATCATCACCAACACCATCGTCATCAGTACCATCACCATCATCATCAGCATCATCAGCAGCAGCAGTAGCATCGTGATCATCAGCATCATCATTATCGCAACCACCGCCACCATCACCAACACTGAAACATCATCACACCAACCAGCACATGCATCACCACCAGCATCCTGATCCCCTATCATGTTCTGCACCACCCCGCCCCCTCCCCTTCATCACCCTCCTCATCCTCCACAGCCTTGCTGGATGCCCTCCAAGATGGCCTCAAAAAGGCCACCAAAAGGGCTCCAAGAGGTGTCTGAAAGCCTCCAAAACGGCCCCAACAAGGTTCCAAAATGGCTCGAAGAGACGTCCAAGCCGCAAACATCTTTCGTCCCC